TTCTGAAAATAAACATTTTTATTTCACAGACTATACATTACTTTTGATTTAAGCATTCTTTAAAAGTAGCCTTTTTTGCTGTAAGGCCTACATTTGCTTCTGTAGAACTCATTTTAATGGAAGACTTTGAAGACCACTGCTTCCAAATTAGCAAGATTTTTATACATCCTGGTTTCTCAACCTAAAATATAAATATAGTTTCCTGACTGTAAATGTGGTTTGTGCTTTGTAATATTCAGTTGCTTATTTTAAGAACTCAAATAGTAGAAGCATATACCCTCAAACTATGCTATTTTCTTTTATTTGAAAGCAAAAAAGATTGGCTCTCCAGCAAAGCAATGTTTAAATACCCACAAATGCTATTATATAAACTTCAGAATTTAAGTTATCACAGCCTTTGATCATATCCCATTTCTAGAAAAAGGCTATTTGTTTTATTCTATATTGTCTATTCTATTTTGGGGCACAAAGCAGATAGGAATGAATAAACATACAAAGTTGAATGTGGGGTGGGGGAATGCTATCTTATCTCATTTGCTGTGGCAAATAGAATACACCAAGTCTTAAGTGACAAAGGAGGTCAAAATGGGAACAGAAGAATAAAATTATTTTTTAAAAAAAACATGTTTATTTGAAATACTTATACTACAGTTCTTGGTGACCTAAAATTTACTTTAAAAAAATCTAAAACAAACCTTGAAGTAAAAGAACAAATCCAGCCAAGAATGAATGGTAACGTTTTAGATTGCCCTGGTACTCTAAATAACTTTATGTTATTTTATTACTGCATGTCATTTTGTTGAAAAATGTTTGGTTTTTCTCCAGTTTGTTTCATTTGTAAAGCACTTTGTGCGCCCTTTGGGAAATGTGAAAGCTTGTTCTTTGCTAGATTCCTGGGAAAGGAGATTTGACAGTTGAAAATCCTTTTCTTCATATATTTATAATCCTGACTTTGCATATAGATTTGAGTTTGGTCAAATTTAGAAGCCATGAGGTAGACAGGGTTTCCAAGATATGTTGAGACTATGCTAAAGATTATAAAACCATCAATAATTATTGCTAAATATATTTACTATTGAAAATGAACAATTTCTTGCAAGTCCATGAACAGCCACTACAACCTAGACTTTTTGACTTGATGAAGAACCCACAAGCACCTAAGCTTGACAGCCCAAGAGATCAAAACAATGAACTAATTACTGAATCTGCTTTATGTTTTTTTTTTTTTAAATTGAAAGTTTCAAGTCAAATTTGATTCCTGATGATTTCATAAAAATATCCATGTAGGGTTTTTGGCAACAAAACAGAAGTGATTTTCCATTGCCTTCTAAAATGCTTTTTCAATTCCCAGCCTATCTTATCACCCTAGTATTCTCTGGCAGTCTCCCATCCAAGTGGTTAATGTTTTTTTTACAGGCAAAGACCAAGATAGCAAACATATTACAATAGAATCCAATACAGATAAGGGAAGTATAGGAAATTAAAAGAATTACTGTATTAAAGTGAATGTGGTTTTAAATTAAATTTATGGTCAGAGGGCAACCCTGGTCAGCTCAGTCAAAAGCTGCAACCTAAGACGCTATTCAAAAGGTCCATCAAAACATTTGAACTTTTCTACATTATATAATAAGATGTCTGCAAGTTATCACTCATTATTTCAAATTCAATATTGAGCATTTAAGAGAATTTAAACTATAGAAAGGAAAATAGCAAAAATTTGTGAGAGCCTGAACCAGGAATGCTGTTTTGCTGAATTTGGTATCTTGATGTTTTGGGAGTGCAACTGGAGGGTGCTATGTTGAGGAAAGGTTTAGTAAAGAATACCAAAGGGTTTTGGCTTATTGAAAACACCATGAACAAGAATGTGTCTTAAAGAAATATACATTCCAAAATATGTGCCATATAACTAAATCTATATAAATACAATATTACAGATTTAGAATGCAGCAAAAAATAAACAGCCCTTGCTATTTTGTGTACATAAGAATATACTTCATATGAAAATCAATTCATGCATATGAAAATCGTAAGCTGCTCTAGCCACTAGTAACCAGCTGAACAGAGCACATACAGGGCTCCCCAACTAGAGCATAATCCCAATATATACATCATCCAGTTCAATAAGCATTCTGATAGGTACAGAGATGAATAGATTCCCTTCATAAATGAATAAAGATTTGAAATATCCATTAACACAATATGCAGCTGTTGTTAATATTAACCATGTCACAATTCCCTGAGAAATTCACTAAAAATGTAAAATTAATTATTATCTGCATCACTACTACTGACATTTCAGCATTGGACAAAGATTGGTGCATTCAAGAAGGGCCAATAGCTGCTACACCAAGTATGGAGAAGGTCTGGTTTTTCTTCCTTATTTTTTGTTCCTGCTAGTTTATTTATTTTATTAAATTTATATGGCCACCATCTCACTTGCATATGACTTTGGGCGGCATACAAAACACAGATAAAATCAGTGTCTTCTACCATTAAAAATAATTAAAAATTAAAAGCTACATTTAAAAATAAAAATACAGAGTAGAGCTCTAACTATATGCAATATACTGTAACCATTTAATGGGCTCCACACTTCCTTGGGGTCCCCAAACCTGATGGCACATTACTGTTTTGGGGGCCTTCCAGAAGGCCAGCAGGATTGGGGTCCAATCTCACATTGGGGGAATGATGCTCTACTTACTTATTTTATTATTGTTCAATTTAATATGGCTGTAACTGTCATATTAATAACGGGTGGGACATAAATGCAATAAATAATAACATATTTTAAAATAAATAACATATTTTAAATCCATGGATAAGGACATAACATAGATTAAATGTAATTAAATGGTATAGCTACAAAATTCAATGCTAAATACATATATAAAGCAATTAACGTGATATGCCCAATACCTTCCTATAGATGTATTGTAATTTTCACTGTGAACATCAATGTTTTACAAGCTGTACTTAAATATTCTGCCAATTAAATACACAATACTGTATCTAAATATTTATTTAGAAAACAAACACTTTGGGGTTAAAAAGCATTCATGTCTTTCAAAACATATTCAGCATTAATGTAATTAAAATTATTTAACTACTTTTTCCAGGTTTTAAAGAGCGGGGGGAAAAGCATTCTACCACATGCAAGAAGTGATGAAAGCAAAGAACAGTGTTAAAAGGGGAAAAGGTACATTTCTCACAGATGAATCAGCTCATACAATACAAACTCATAGCAAAGCAAAGTAAGTTTTTCTCCTGTATAAATGTGGCACTCTGCTACAGAAAATGTATGTAGGTTACTGCATAAATTCAAAATTAGTAGAGATTTACTGGGAAGAGAACCACAGGAAGACCTATTTGATTTTTACCTTCCAAATTACAAAGTTAACAAAAGTCAGGACTCAAAGCAATAATTTACTAATATTGTTAAACTTATTTTAAAGACACTACACTACTAATGCTACTTATTAATTTGCTGCTATTCAAGATTTTTAAAACTACTAGATTAAATTCTCTGTCTAGAATACAAAACAAAATGAAGACTTAAGATTTCGGGTATTACAGTACTTCAGAAATGCGAATTAGTGCCATCTACTGGAATTTGGGAGTTACTATCTTTTAGACTGAAATCTCTGTAGCTTATATATTAAAACAAATCCGTTCTTATAAATTCAATTCCCAGCAATTTAAAAAAATATGAATTTTTTAAATAACTATAAGTACATGACATGAGAAAATAGTTTGCATATCAAATAACATTTGGAAGAAAACAAAAACGTGTAGACTATGCTAAACTTGGGACAAGAGAAATGTATTTATTTATTTGCTGGGGTTATCTTTTTTTAAGAAAAAAAGGACATATTGTACAAATACTGAAGTATCTAAAAGAATATACATGTATTTATCACATTTAAAACTGAAATTGTTAACCGTATTCTTAATTTCCTAGTTCAAAAGCTATAAATATATAAGTAATATAGATTGTGCCTACCTAAGCCAATTTCATGGCCACATCATTTATCAATTCCAGTCTCTCTAATTAATCTGCCTTTGTGACTATTTACATCATATAGAGAAAGTGCACGAGAAAACAGATGAGAGCTTTCTCAGCTGAGAAGTGTGAAATGTACTTGGCCACTGCCTGTTCTTCCACCATTAATGAGCTCTTATATCCATACTTTTGAGTGGAAGTTCCAACAGCTGGGTAACATGGTAGACAAGTGCTATTTGCTGCTTCACTGGCAGTCTAAGTGGAAGTGCTGTCTATGCATACTCAGAGACATGCAAATCCAGGGAAAGCTTCCAGAACAACTGTGACAAGCCTTCCAGAGAATGCGGCTGCATCAACATTTTGAAGGGTGGTTCTTCACATGCGCCAATGTGCTATGTGGATTTCCCTCTCTGATTGTGTTGCACAGCACTATTATTTATCCTTATCTTTTACATTTCAAGAAGGTTGCTGGTGATTTGCAGAACTACAAAATGCAAGGGTAATGTTATGACCAAAACTTGTAGAAATAAAGAAAAACAGTGGTCTAGATTAGTGCATATTTCCAGGAAAGAATCTTCATTTGCAACAGCTTGTATAATCAGTGCATTCAAAAGATTTACTATTATTCTTTTAAAAATGGCACCGAACATTTCCTGAGAACAAACATATCGCCTTTCACCAGGCTGTAGTATCCCTTGATAAAAATATAAGGCTAGACTATTTAAGGCTACTTACTGTTATATTTAAAGGAAGCTTACTGCCTATTTATTTATGAACTAAAAAATTCTATCGAATTTATCAAACCCTATACAGAAGCTAAAATGCTAACCCTCGTTACCAATTCTTGTTAAAGAAAGCTGTGATGTACAATATAGTTTGAAAGACTTTCAGCTCAGCTGGTTTTAGAAAGCTGGTTCCTTAGCAAACCACAGCTTATTATTTCCTGTAGCAGAGATGCCTACTCCATACGCATAACCACAACAAGTAGCACCCAGTCAACCTGAGGGAAGCCCACAGGCTTGCAGGGCCACTGGCTGGTTCTTTGTCACCAAATGCAGTAGGTTGAATGCAGACATCACTGTAATATCGTCACCAACACAACCAGAGGCAAAGAACAGGGGCAAGAGCTGAGTAAGGGAAAAAAAAAAGATGAAAATGAAATTAAAACTTCAAAAATGTTAGGTACATTCATAGCAAAAATGATGGTTATGATTTTTTCTGAAAGGAAAAATACAAGACTTAATAATACAAATATGCATGAATTAAATGGGTTCCTCTCATTCCTTGCACAACAATCCTTGCAATTATTCCCAAGAAATAAAGCAGCTTAAAAACATATACACACAACAACAATTTGAAAAAATCAATTCAAAGATGACTTCTAAAATGATCACATAAAAAGTTCAGAAAGCAAATATGGTATTTTGTTCATTCATTTATTATCTTATAGTTAGTTTGCATCCAAGTTTCAAACATTTTAAAAATAGGGCACTTACTATTACACAAACAATTAGCACCTTAAAGTGGTTGCATTCTTTAATAATACCCTCTTCAACTATGCATGTGGCAAGAAATCTCTTTATACGTGAAAAGAAAGCCCCACATGCATTGGATTGAACTCAGAAGAATGGATAAAAATGGTTTGAGGAAAGTTATATGAGGGGCCCATATTAAAGCTGTTCCATGTAATGACTACTTGCTCTCATAATCATATATATATATATATACACACACACACACACACACATACACATGGAATATTTTACAATGAAGATAACAAAGATGAAAATCCGTTAGAAACGTCTAGTGGACAAGCACATTGTGCAAGAATAATACACAATTTCTTGTGCTATACCCATGTATTTTAATGTTTGTTCAGAATATTAAACTGTTCATAAAGTATATGAAACTACAAAGTTTCAAATATATTTACAACAAAAACTGATGGATTCTTATTTGGAAGTGCTATCTATTTCTTTTGCTAATTTTCTAGTGGGCCACTGGCCAAGCCAGATCAGTGTAGAACTATGGTTTGTAGGCACTGGAAACAGCAAAGCTGTTAAAAACCAATAATAAACCAAGAGAGTGACCTGGATAATTTTTTATATTGGATTTACAAAAGAGGTTTGTTAAAGCTTTGAAGAACCTTGTGAGAAGCGACTAAGAAGAAATGAAATCAAATTCTATGACATTATTTGAATGGACTAAAGATTAAGACTGTTAGAAGTAAAAGAAATGAATATAACGTTGGTTTATTTGATCGTTAAAATATGTTGTTATTTCTGGTAAACCTTAATGGACTTTCTGCTGACACCAGGACTGAAAACATGATGCTTTATGGATTTGTCTATAGATAAGAGATAGGATATGGAATGAAGAGATCATTGGCTATAAACTAAGAGGGAATGAAGAGTTACTAAAATTGTTTATACTTGTTGTGATGAAGGTTGGAAGTCACTTCTTTATATATTTATTTTCTCTTTCTTTACTATATTCTTTTCTTTCTTTTTTCCTTCTATTTTCTATGTTTTTTCTTTTCCTTTGTACCTTTCACTTTCTTTCTATTCTTTTTAGTTTGTATTAGATTTTACTATTGCAATTAAAATCATATCTGTCTGTCTGTCTGTCTGTCTGTCTGTCTATCTATCTATCTATCTATCTATCTATCTATCTATCTATCTATCTATCTATCTCAAAGCTGTGTATTCTGCCCCACTGCCACTTAGCCTGCATATGTTTCTTGAAACTTCTAATGTATACCTGTCAGCATAGATTCCCCATGTAAGGTAATGGCTGAGACCAATCCACTCACAGCCATTTAAATCCTAAAATCATCTGGCAATTAGCCAAGCTTTGGAACAACCTGATCTTACAAGATCACAGAGTGCTCCGCACAAACCAGGGCATCCCAGAATCCTTCATTATCAAGCTGTGATTACCAGAGATCAACAGCTGCCTTGTACCAGATAAGCAGCTAATTCTTTTTACCTTACGATTACTTTGTATTTGTACTGTTCTGTGAGCTAAGTATCTTCAGCTTGAACTTGCTATAAAATATTAAGTTTTAGACTGTTAAAAAAACAACACAGGAATTATATCAGTAAATGCTAAGTGAACAGTGAGACTTATTTCAGACATCATATTTATATTGTCTCAACATCAGTACAGTAAAAGAATCTGTTGCTTACCTGGTACAGACAGCTGTTCACACCTGGTGATTACACTTTGAAAATGGATGATCCCAGGATGTCTGGCATGTGCAGAGCACTCTGGGGATTTCAAAAATGAAACTGCCCTAAGGCCTGGGTAATTACCAGAAGATTTTAGGGATTTAAGCGGCTGCAATGTAGATTGGTCCCAGACATTACTATACATGGAGAATCTATGCTAAGCATGATACGTTAAAAGGACTGAGCAACATACAGGCTACAGACAATGGGGGCACAGCACAGTGTATTCCATCACTTGAAACTGTTTAGTGAATCCACATACCCAAAGCCCAGGAAAAGACTCCAATCATAGTTCCTTTCGTGTGCCCAGAGGTGCCAGCAACAAGGCTATGCCCAGCCCCTCCTTTCTGTGTCTGCATTATGATACAACTGCAAGGTGGGGCTTGCATAATGACATCACTGTGTGTGCCCATACACCTTGAAAGCACATCTTGTTCAGCCAGCCCAGCCAGCTTGCTTTCTGCTGGCAATTGCCCATTACTGGCTGGGAGCAGACTGGCTCCAGCCCGCTGCTGCTGGAATCTTTTTTGCCAGCAAGGAATACCGTAATTAAAGCAGTATTTTATTTACTTATTTTGCTGCTCTCCATTTGGACTTTTTTAATTTTCTGGAAATCAATTTATTGGCTATAGTACAGATGGCCATGCATCTACCATAAGCTATAATATACACTGTTCAGGAAATTGTTCCCCACTCAAACAATTCTGGGAAAGTTTTCAGGGTAAGAGACAGTAAGGATCTGCTGCAGAAATAGCCTTCTAGAAGATTGTGCAGCCTGAGGTTCAAATCTCTGTACTGTGTTATATAATGGATGGTAGATGGAAATTATTAGTGTTAATCCCCATCCCTCAATTTGTTTCATGCTGCAATTTTTTCATTGTATCTTGAATTTCTAATTCTCTTTAGAGTGCATCTGAATAAAACACTACTTGGATTAAATTACTTTAACGGACACGACCCAAATGTTTGTGGAAACAGAAGTGGAGATGAGAATGAGCAAGAAAAGGTAAACACCACAACAAATAGCCCGAAAGAAGGATTAAATAAATCAACATTGCATTTGCATGAATGACTGCAGAATGATTTTCTGTTTCCTAATCATGCACACAGACCATTCTCTTGGAGCAGACTATCAGCTAATAAAGGTCTACGCATTCCAAGCAAGCAAATAAAAATGTATTTTCACTTTGAGGAACAGAAGTGCGCAGTGAAAATGTAATTACCTAGCAAAGCTGTAGTCTTACTGGGCTTCAGCAGCTGATCATAAAACGTCTTCCTATTCTGTTTCATCAACTGTAGTACCAGGCAGCCTGCACGCCTACCAATTGCAGCCATCTGGCTTGGGTCAAAGCCTGTGAGTCAAGCAACTACAGTGCAACAGGAAGAAAGGCAGTGATGTCACTCTTCAGGTCAGGCAAAGAACAAAGATGAATTCCACCTCTAAAAAGCTGGGTGCCCCAAGGGGAGAGGGGTTCTAGAATGCTTTTACTTAGTGATTTATGGCTAAAGCTATTCTCTCCATTAAACAAGGAACAGACCGCCACCTAGTGGTTAGCAGGCAAAAAGGTGCAAACAGCAAGCTTGTGTTGCTAAAGCTAGATAAAACAGCGTTTGCAAGTTAATGCAAAACAAAGGATAAAGTGTTGGTTGACTTGCCCATAGGAAAAACAATTAAATGTTTCAAATTAAGTAGCCTATTGTTTGTAATGTATAAATATGAAGCAGAAATTATCTGCATTTGCCTGAAATGTTGGAAATACCATCTTATGGTCGTTTACCATCATTTTACTCTTTACCATTATTCAGAAAACAGAGTGCATCCTGTGATGAAAGATAACTGAACAATTTAATGAATGGGTGAATACCACTTCAGTTAGTACGTGGGTGATATCGTTTTGAATCGTTCCCCACCTAAAAATAATCTCACATCTAGTTTTAAAACAGTTTAGCACCCTAAAAAAAGAAAGAAAAAAGCTCCAGTTGAAGTCACTCTATCTGCAACGGCTACTATTACTGCAAGAAGAAAATGAGTCTGGGGGCACCTTTTACAACTAACACATTTTGTTAAAAGGCATAAGCTTTCATGAGCTGCAGCTCACTTCATCAGATATATAGATGACTTCTCTTCGAAGTGACTTTCACTCATGAAAGTTTATGACTTTTAATAAAATTTCTTAGGTACTACCTAAGGAAAAGGTACTACCAGACTCCTGATTTTCTGCCACCATTGACTAACACGGCTTTCCTCCTACAGTATTTGCAAGAAGATAATTCATGTTTACTGAGTCAAACAGAACTACTTTTTCTAATTAGTAAGTAGAATATTTTTCAAACTGAGTGATGGGGCCGCCCAAAATTTCCAGAAGTTAACCAGAGTTCTGCAGACACTTGAAAATTATTATCTCAGATACTCCCCATTCTCCAGCACAAACTATGCCAGTGAAAATTAAAATAAGATTATGGTCTAAACTTTTTAATTTATTAGTATTTTCTTATAATCTACCCTAATAACTTAATCTGAAGGCAAACTACACATTATGATGCATTCTGCCATCCACATGGAACAGAATTAAGCATGCAAACAGAAAAAATATTTTAAAATATAAATTTAAAATACCTTAACAGATACACTGAGAGGCTGAATGAGGTGCAAATCAAGAATTATATACTGGTTATAGAATTTTTTTGGGAAATAGGGGAGAGAAACATATATAAACAGAATGTTATTCTGTACTGATGTATCAGGGCAGAATTTAGAACATGCTGGCTGGGGAATTCTGGGGGTTAAAGTCCACACATCTTAAAGTTACCAAGTTTGAAAAATGCTGATTTAGAATATGTATTACTGTCAGGATTACTCTTGAGTAAAGACTTCACTGGCAAATACAAAGAATATA